AAGGTCTTGTTCGAGACTTTTGGTCGCTCCAGATGAGTTGAGACGGAAGGTCTAACTCATAGAGTAATTTCAGATAGGATACACCGTCTGCTCGTCACGCTATCTTGTTTTCGGCCGGATAGATTCGTGCAACTTCTTTGTCTAATACCGATCTTAATCTTACTCTTATAGTCTCAATAGATCTACAGTATACTGGTTTGATTACGATTCAGTCTCTTGGAGAAAGCAACTAAGTTGTAAGTTAAATTCAAATCTCTCTGGTGCTGAAATTACACGTAATTTCAGCACTTACAGACAAGTGGGTTGTTAGTTTGATGGAGTATGATTGGTTAGTCTTTAATATTTTATAGGGATAAATTATCTAATTTATAACCAAAAATAAATTATAGTTTGGATCTGGTTCCAATAGCGCGAAGTATATTGCTCGTTTATTGTCACAAACTGGCCAAAATGGCAATCTTTAAACCCCCATAACTCTACGAAAACTGATCACAGATGAAATATATTTTTTTCAATTTTAAGCTCAGGACAACAATACCTTTCGAATGATATAAAAAATCCGTCAAAAACGGCTAGTTAGAAAGTCGAAATTTGTCTGAAGAAAAAAAACCCACCCCGAGCACAAAAATTCCGTTACTTTTGTATCGAAAGTCGGAACAAAAATGAGCAGGCAGATATATTCGTAAAGCATGAAGCTTCTCTGATACTTTCAACTTCATCATCTAGAGCATTTACTGAAGATAGGTTGCTAAGATGACCAAAACGATGAAGAGATTAGACTCGTTTCTTATCTAAAACTGAACGTATCCTGCTACCGTATATTTTTTTTTTACAAAACTAGCAGAAGAGATATCTTGATCCACGCTTATGCAGGGGAACTACTTTCGCAACTTTGGAATAATTAGGGAAGTAATTTGGGAGTGATAGTATTACTAAAAAAACACTAATAAAAAGTAATAATAAAAATTACTGATGTCTTCATAATCCTTTGAAAGTTGGGCTGGAAATTTGTCAATTTTTTCTTTTGTATGATATGGAATAATTAATTTTTTGAAATGGTCTCTGGAATAGAGGAAAAATACGGCGATTTTTTTTCAGTGTAATTGTAATGAACACTTTTTTTGATCAAATTGGCTAAAGAGTACCTAACCGAAACGCCAACAACTTACTGAAAACCTAAAAGTGTTTATTTCAATCGAGAAAACTCGCTGATGATTTTAACCGCTGCTTCTGTTTTAAACGACAACTAGATCAATTTTTAAAAGCAGGTTAAATTTTCTTTAAATTATTTTTTTGTAAGCGTCTTGTGCTAGGGGAGATTGCAATTCAACCACAAGAAAGCTTTTTTGTAGCATTTGAGTTTTGTATTTTTGTGTATTTAGAGACGTTGAGTTGATTGTCATGCAAAATTTTCACAAGTTACCTTCAAAAAAATCTTATTTCAGGACTAAAAATAATTCAGAGTTTGATCAGTTATAATGGCCCATGATAAAGATTTGAATTTCAATTTCACTCTATTTTTTTTCGTTTATCGTGAAAAAAATTGTTTCAAATGCCAAAAAATGATAATAGATTATAGAGGATTCTAATGATTTATGTTTGTCTCAAAAAAGCAATAAAACCAATTTAAATCATGAAAGCTCAGCGCGTGTACATATTCAATTATTTTTTTTACTAATGAACCTATAGGTGGACATGATTGTAATTGGATGGACCAAACGTGTCAGCAACATTTTTAAAACCAATTATTTTAACCCGCGTTGTTTTTTAGTCCACGTGGTTTGTAGTCGTTGTCCCCGTCTTTTTTGATTTTAGTAGTCCTATTGTTCTCCGCTTCTCAAGGCTGAAGGTGCAGCTGACAGATTCCTGCTTTACTTGTTTGTGACGTCGGTGGGAAATGGATTTCTTTTCAGGAATGTACCAAAAACAAAACAATTTTCTCTTTTTAACTCATCGTCAAATGTATTTTGTGGCCAACGTGTTTCAGTTAACAGTTCTTGCTCACTCCGATTTTAGGTTTGGTCAAGTGGTCTGCAAGCTTGTTTCCAACTTTTTCTTCTTCTTTATATTCTTAGACTGTTTGTTACGATAGCTCCCAAAGGTTCAAAACTATCCTTGTTTTTATTTAAATGTCTTCCTTAATTTTCACGTAATTTTGTTTGAACCGATTGTATGTCTAATATGTACATACAGTTCATGTTCTAACTCGATACATTTAAAGTTCTAGTTCGAACTTGAACTAAAATTTTTCCAGATCTAAATTTTCAATTTGAAGTATCCTGTGAATGTTTTAAAAGCATGGGATATCAGAGATCTAAGTTCAAATCTAAAATTTTGTGTTTCATTGTTATTTCAGATCTCAAAAACCAGTTCATATCTTAATTTCAGATTTAGAATTTCATTTTTTATCGTCATTGCGTATGCGAAAACTTCGATGTTTTTGATTTTTTTTTGGTGTTTTAAGTTGTTCTGTGATTTTTTGTTGTTGGTAGCTACTAGCATGTACATGGCAAAATTTTCAATCGGAGACTGCGGATGTATGTTTACCTTAAGTCAAATAAGCATTAGAAAACGAGAAGCAAAGTTTTGATAAATATTTTGTCATTTTTTGAACACAAATTGTGGTTGCAATTATTTGAACTGGTTATTAATATAAAAATCAATCAATAGAGCCAGAACAGTTAAAAAAATGCAATTTCGGTTGTTTCTTCGTTATACATATGATAAACTGTAAGATGTGATTTTTTCCTGGTTTCTACGGACTTGAAATTTCCAATTTCATATCCAAATACAGCTTTGAAAATTCAAATCTTTCATCAAAGATGTGAAAAAGAATTTGAGATTTTAAATAGAACATCTTTAGGTACAGTGAGTTGAAATTTTTCATCCATTATTCAACTTGCTGAAAATTAAGTTACCCAGGTCGAAGTCCCACCGTTAATTATCGCTTTTTCTGTAGTACCCCAGTGATCGCTATTTTCCAGCGCTGATTCATATAAAAATCAGAGTTTGTTGCATAGATAAGCCTGCAATTTTTCAAAGCTATTTCAGTTATGATTCCGTAGAAAATCATCGCTAATACTTGAGAATTTAAGAAACATAAGAAACTCAATCTAATAGCTTTCAAACGAGAGCTTCATTTGATAAGCCCTTTTGATAAACTTAGTTTTTCCTAAGGATTGATAGCGCAGAAGTAGAATGTATGTTTTAAGGTTAGGGCATCAAACCCCTCTCACAGCCATATTTTTTCCTCATTCTTATAGTTGTTTTATTGCGGTTTTCATCGCTGAAAATAGGCCAAACTAGCGATAATTTTTTGATAAATTTTGCTTTTGTGGCATTGAACATCAATGATGCATCGATGGGAATAGCTGTTTTTGCACTTTTTATTGCTACCTTTAAATGTGATCTCAACCCGGTAGAGAAACAAAAAAATAAAATTCAGCCGAACTCTAGCCTGTAAAAAAATAATTTTCAGCCGAACTCTAGCCTGTTTAAAATCTTTCACCAACAAAACTTAATGTAATTGATGATACAATAGAAAAGGAATAAAATATTTTTTGAAGAGTGTTATCATCAGCTTATTTGATTGCTGATTTGACTGTCGGGTTATTTAGTTCAGATTAATTTACATTGTGCTGCTGTCCGTAGTTCGGACAAAAAAATCGCCTCAAAAACGGAGCAGTTTCGAACTTGAACTTGAACTTGAAATCATTTATCCAGAAACAGTTAACCAGTTATGGCTTTTTAAGGCAATCAAAAATTACGCTATGTTTTCCCAGTTTTTTTCACAAAGTGCAATAACGAAATGTACGAAGGGTATAACTTTCACAAAAATACAAAAACGTTGAAAACATTAGTTTAAAATGACACTGTTTGTATATCAGACGGAAACGAAAAAAACGTATACAAGTTTAGGTAAATTATACACTTCTTAATCGTTGTTGGGCTAGGTAAGGTAAGAGGCTCAATATACCGGATTGACAAAAAGTGTCTAGCATATGTTTGCATGCTATAAACAAAAATTAATCATATTGTTTCATACTACTACGCTGACTAAAAAAAATCGTTTGAAAATACTTTTTTCATACTACAGTTTTATAAAAAGCATTTTTGGTACAGTTTGGATGTAAAACACAAAAGTTTTGATATGTAACGCTTATACCAAAACTTTTTTTAAAAAATAACCTAAGCACTATATTGTACTATAATATTACCAAAAAATAGCTTGTGGGTACTTTCATAGACTCAAAAAGTCACACTCTGCATGCGAAGTTTTTAATTTGGTAAAACGTATATTCGAGCACAGCAGCAAGTTTGCGACCAAAAAGGATAAAAAATCTTACCTCAAACTTGTATTTTTTCTCTGGAACTATGAATATCGTAGAAAATTCATATGTTGAAATTGTATAATTGTTTTTTTGCTCGAAAAAGATTATTTCGATGCCAAAGTTGCTTTCATGTAACCAAAACTGCCAATAACCTGTTTTGTTTAAATTTCAAACCAACCTAAATTCTTTTTTGTAAAACAACTTTCGATTAAAAAAATGCTTGTCATATAATTTTCTGGTATGAAAATTGTACGTTAAGCATTTTTTTGAACAGAATTTTTATACAAAAATTGTATGATAGGAATTTTTCTTCTATTGACTTCAACACGGGTTGATATAACTTAATAAGTAAATTAATCTGTAACTTTGGCGTAACTTTTGGGAGTCAACCCAATTAGAGAAAAACGCGTTAAAAATTCAATTTTTTTGTTCGTTATTACGTCCGGAGTCCGGATTATTTATTCAACACTGTACTAACTTAATTTTTGTCGGCTCATTGCTGACAACATTACAATTGTGCAAACCAATCTTGAGCAAAACAATCGATCGTCACTCAATGATTGTCTAGACTCAAAGATCATATGAAGTTTTGACCTCGTTAAACCGGTCAAAGAGAAATGACCTATAACATTTGAAAAAAGTCATAATAAAAACTAACCTTCCTTTTAACACTTGAACGGGCCAGGGCGCTTATTGTTTTTTTTTGATGGTGAGTTAAATGATGGCTCTGATTTAGATCGGATATTTTGAGTGAAATTATATTAACTAGAAGTCTAAAAACTTGAGTGAAATCAGCGAAGCCGATGGTTGGAGAAAGATCTCAAGAAGGATATCCCGTACAGAGCTTGACGAGCGAGAAGCTGGCAATGTTGTCGCGTCTCAACTTATTTACCTCCGCACAAGCCGACTGCAAAAACACAACAGACGCAAGCGATGCTTGGGCGTTGAAGCGATCTATCAGCACGCCGAAACTGAATGTTCAGCAGCTTGGATCTTTGGAGTTTTGCAGCAGTTCGAAACAGTCGACTTGTGGCTACTGTTACGATACCGTTGACCAACTGAAAAGTTGTCTGTCCTGTTCGCACATAATTTGCGACGGATGTCTGAATTCGACCTTGATATGTCCAGTATGCGGAAACGAATCGATCGACACGTCGGCGCTGTATGACATTCCAGCGGATTTGTCGATGATTCATCATACCTCAAAACGAGATGGAGACACGCCGAGATTCGTTCAATTACGTTAGTTCAATTTTTGTAGCTAATAATCTACATTTCTTAAAATTGTCGTGTCAAAAGAAAATTGTAACAAATCTTTTGACAAAATGAAATCTCAACTGTTATCCAGTGTATCAGAACAGTCATCCAATCTGAAATTTAAACGTTTGATGAAGTTTTTCGAAAAATCAATTTAAAGCAGCTATCCTACTAAAAATGTATGTTGAAATAACCACTTTGGTTCAGCAGAAGATTAAATTGTAGGGCAATCTTCAGGTGAGAAGCAGACAGGCATTCGAATCTCGAGTCCGCCCAGCGCCCAGAAGTTGCCAACTGAGAGGATAACGGAAAGCAGCAGCAGCAGCAGCAGCAATAAAGCGACTCCCAACTCGAACAATTCGTCCAATTGTACTTCTTGCGAGGAAGATGTGCCTGCGTTTGCGGCATGTGAGGTAATTCTTTATCCTTGAAAAATGATCCTTTGCCTCCATTCTCAACCCCCCTTCATCGTCGAACTAAATTTTGCTGTGATGCCGCTATAGGTTGTCACGGATCTAAAAGAGAGCATAAGGCATTAGTTGGAATGTGCGGCAACTTGTGCATTTCAGGAGTGCAATGAGCTGATGTGCATGAATTGCACCAGTGCACACTCGCGACTCAAGGTCACCAAAGACCACAACCTGAGTCTCGTCAAGCACCACGCGGTGGGGGGATCATCGAACGTGCAGCAGGCATTAGAGAGACGAAACAGCTGCCCCACCAAAAACAACAACAACCACAACAAGAACAACAACAACAACCATCATAATCTAAGCAATAATAACGAATGCGTGGACGACAGCGGGTTGGTGTCGGCTAATAAGAGTGGAGAGTACTCGGTGGATACTAGCTCGGTGGTGGTAAGAAGTAGCGAATGCTCGCTGCACTGTCTGCCTGTCACGGGCATCTGCAAGGAGTGTGAACAGAGGGGCTGTGACAAGTGTTGGGAGTTTGGTCACCGCAAGCATTTCATTATGAGGGCTGCTGCAGTGATTGAACACGTCGAAAGTGCAGTAAGCTTGAGTATCTCTTATTTAAAACTCTGAGTAAAATTTGTTTGTCGGCTTCGTCGCAGAAGAACAGGAGCATTCTGTAGAAGTAAAGATGAACGCGGAAGATGAAAAAAAAAACGGCAGTAGAGTTGAAACTGCAAATAAATTTATAACTGACATAAGCATGAACATAAGGCCAGGGGTTGATAATAGTTTTCTTGATGGGGTTTGGGGAACGGATATATCTTATTATGGCGCCGAGTTACCTTAAAATTTCACCTGCCTGAAACTAAGGGTCAAATCATAAAGTTGAGGTTAAATAAAAAGTACTCCAAGAAACTTTTTCCGGCCCCTCTAATTCGCTATGCAGTTATATTGAGCAGAAGTTGCATGTGGCTGTTTGTGTTATACAGCGGAAAAAGGCGGCGGATCTGATGCCGCTGATAGAGGAGATGGAGGGGATGACGGAGACGGTGGAGAAGGAGGTGGAGGAGGAGGCTGAGAGGCGGCGACAGGAGGTGGACACTTGTTACACGGCACTCATTCACGCACTGCAGCAGAAGCAGGACCTGTCCCTCCACAGGTAAAGCCACATGTGGAACTATGTTCCAGTGCTGGGCGACGGGAGGAAAGGAAACTAATGAATCGATGGTCCATGAAATCTGTAATGCGAGGCTGTTTCCCTCCCCTCCCCTCCCCTCCCCTTCCAACTCTCGATAGTTGTAGCTTCATAAATGATAGCTGCTTGATAGTGAGGTGAGCTGATCTTCACTGCTTAGAATAGAAGAGGTGAAGGCTAGTTGTGCGTCGAGTGTGCACATGAAGCGGGAGGTGCTGAAGAAGATGCACTCCAAGTGCTCCACCCTCCTCCAACACTACTCTGACTGCAATGTGAACTACTTGTACGAGACAGACCTCCCACACTTCATCAAGTACTGCTTCAAGGTAACACAGCAAAAACTACAAGAACACGATTACATTGCTTTCAAACTTGTGTTGTCAAGTTAATGTGATCTATTATGAGAACTCAAAGAAATTGTTTAGAGCGATTTTCAAGGGGATTAGAATTCAGGCTAAAATTGAGTGTTTTATCAACGTTTTTGAAGCATTGAAAACTACGGTCAAGTTTCAATTTTATAATTGCTGGTGTCAAAAACGCTTCAAATAGTATGTCTAGGGAAATAAGAAAACTACAAGTTTTATTCCACAATTGAACGAGAATGATGAATTAGTGTATCTCTTTTTAGATTACCTCTTTGAACCAGGAGATCATGCAGTGCCATGACAGCGAATACCAACCCTTCCTCCTCTCGCCCCTCAAATCTGCCCCTGCCCCCCTCCTCCAGTTCCAAGTTGCCCCCAATGCCATGGAACTGCTCCAGTCTATCTCCGTTCTGAACTCGACAGCCACCTGTCCGGAAAAGTGTCTGGCTAAGGGCACTGGTCTATCCGACTCCATCGTCAACAAGGTTAACTATAAAGTTTTGCACTATTTTACTGAAAAACAGTTTCTAATTGACACTGCAGAAAAAGTAGCAAACGTAAAGGGGACTGGGGCAATCATATTTGAAGAGCGTTGATCGGTTAATGAGCCTAAGATCTGAGCGCAGGTTGAACTCGATCTGAGATATTTACGTTTGCACAAAACAAAGTTTGCACTGGAGAAAAAAACGAAGGTGAAAGCTTTGCGTGTGAAAAGATTGGCCTGTTGCTTCAGATTGCCACTTTCGTAGTGCAGGCGGTTGACTACTTCGGCCATCGCAGAGGGGTGGGAGGAGATTTGATCAAGTGCATGGTGACTCCAATCGAGAACAAATTCCTCTCGCGCAAAATCCACTACAACGTCATTGACAACCAAAACGGAAGCTACAGTGTGCAGTATTGCATAGACACGGAAGGATCTTACAAATTACATGTAGTCATGAACAACTTCAAGATAGGCCAAAGTCCCTTCATAGTGAAGGTGATAAAAGGTAGAAGCTACACAGATCTCAGAGGACAGACTCCCAAGTTGATCTTTGGAGGCGAAGGTTCCGAAGACGGACAACTTTGCCGACCCTGGGGGATCTGCTGTGACTCGGAAGGCAACATTTACGTCGCGGACAGAAGTAACAACAGAATTCAAGTTTTCGATCAGAGTGGAGTTTTCAAGTTTAAATTCGGAAAAGAAGGAACTCGAACAGGTGAGTTCCAGAGACCGGCCTCAGTTGCGGTGGATAGCAAATTGAAACGACTCATAGTTGCCGACAAGGATAATCACCGATTGCAAGTGTTCAGATTAGATGGGACATTCGTTTCAGTGATTGGTGAGAAGGGAGCTGGCAAAGGCCAGTTCACCTACCCATGGGACGTGGCTGTCAGCTCTCAAAGTGATATTTTAGTCTCTGATACGAGAAACCACAGGGTTCAGATGTTCAATTCGAACGGAGTCTTCAAGTATCAGTATGGCTTGAAGAACCAGTGCGAAGACTGGCAGGAGCACTTTGACTCTCCCAGAGGAGTCTGTTTTACGGCAAACGACTGCGCCTTGATAACTGACTTCAATAAACATAGAGTTCTGGTGACAGAGCCTGGTAAGCATTAGAACTATGGTCCATGGTATCCAGGGTTTTTCATAAAACAGCATCCGTTTATACTTTCAAATCCGATGCTGTTAAAACCAATAGTGAAAAATTGTATTAGGGAAGGCTGTTTTTATTTCAAATTTTTCATGCTTTGGGAAATAAACAAGTAAACTCGCATTGGGCTTTTAAAAGTGTATTTAGGTAAAATGTGAGATTCATCAATTTTCAGATGAATTATTTGTTTCAGATTTTAATAAAGCGAATTATTTCTCACAAGAAGGCGAGGGCATTGACTGCCTGAAAAGACCGCAAGGCATCTGCGTAGATCCGCAGGGACTCGTTTTGATCTCGGATTCCAGGAACCACAGGGTGCAAGTGTTCACCGTGCAGGGCAGTGCTATTGCCAGCATCGGAGGGATCCAGGGCACAGGTGTGAACGAAATGGACCGGCCGGCTGGCATCTGTGTGTCACCAACGGGCACTGTCTTGGTTGTGGATTTCGGAAACAACCGAATTCTCGGCTTCTAATCAACGAAATACAATCTTAACGAAATAATAGCCTTTGTTTTCAACTGAACAACCGATTTATGTGCCAAAATTTTATGTGACAGTGTGCTATGTAACTTACCTGTTGATTGACTTGTAAATATCTTTGATGAAGCTAGAGGCTAATTGCGGACACTTGAGTTGCATGAGCTGTAATGCATATTTTAAACGTAATTCAATCAATCATTAATGTTAATGTGTAATTTTCAATTGTCATCTTGGCTCTTTGACTGACTTGAGATTCCAAACTTGGTCGGTATCTTTGAAATGACTAAGTGACTGAATGATAAATGAGCTACGAAAGTGAAGTTGTAATTGAATTATCAACAAATTTAATCAGTTTTGCTACAAATTTAACTTCAATCAGCAAATAAATGAAATCTGCATAATCATTTCCAATAAGTTTGAAAAGGAAAATCAGATATTCCAATAAGTTTGAAAAGGAAAATCAACCCGGGAAGCTGAGATCGCCAATAAAGATAGTGAGTTCAATTGTAGCCCGTATTCAAGTCAAATCAGGTCGAATCATTCATGGATTTGGATTCATGGTTCGACTTTGTCTGAAACAAGAGTCAAATTAAGAGTCGAACATAGTCGAACTAAAGATTCGAATGTAGTACAAAGTCGTATCATGGGGCGAACAGGGTAGAAGCATGATTCATTCGAACAGGGAAGAGGTCGAATCATGTGGGAACAGTGTCGAATTAGGAGGCCAACTTAGTCAATAGCCGAGGTTATTAAAGTGTCTACTCATGGGTCAAATTGGGACAAACCGGGTCGACTAGTCAAACCAGGAGGGAAAATTGATCAAAGCACAAATTGATTAGGGTTGTATCATGGGTGCACAAGGAAAAACTAAGATCGTAATTGATTCTAGTTTAAGGAGGCATATAATCCTCCCTCAGGGATTCGACCCCCTGCTTACCCAAAGGGGCCCCCCTTTGTAGTTTTTTCAGATATCCGTTTTTGGCTGATTGACCTTAAAACTTTTTTGTCAGGCGCCTTTGGCACCAATCTATACTACTTTAGAGGGGGGAGGGGAGGAGAGCGCGCTTTCGGTCATCATTTTCAAGAAGTGCCTAAAAATACCTTTTTGGCCTGTTTTTTTTTTAATTTGCCTGCGGCGCAGAAAATGTGGTTAAATTAGGGTCCTTATAGTGGTTTAGGCGAGTCCAGAATATCAAATTGGTAGATCTAAAAAAGGTCGACAAACTTGTCAATTTTTTGTATTGTTTCCACCCCTCGAGAAACTCCTAGATCCGCGCCTGAGCACCGCAATAAGACTTCACAGTAAAAGCAGTAATAGAATAACCCGTTATTACAACGTCCAGAACGTTCAATTTTCTTTTTTCCACAGGAATCAACGGATATTTTACATTCAAATTGCCTGTTATAAACTCTTTTCGGTAAAAAAGCGTAGTCGGCGTAAGTTCAATTCAATTTCACCAGCAACAGAATAGACATTTTAAAGAAGCATTCCAGTTTTCCAGCCGAAGTAACTTAGATCACAAAATTGCTGTCTATCTCCAAACCAATGCAACCCAACCCAATTTTTTGCCACATTCCGAGGCCAAACTGTGCATTAGTAGTATATTAAAAGTGGCTAGGAAAATGACCTTTATTAGCCCCCCTTTTTTTTCGGTGTGCCGTTGCACTGACCAAAGGGGTTAAAGCTCCTACTTTTTCGGGCAGACATGTTTTAAGGGGGGTTAAATTGGTAGTTTTCCAGCCACTTTATGGAAACGGGAAGGGAATAAAGTTTTGATTGGTGAATATTTTCCCTTCTAAAATTTGTGGGTATTGGCTTGTTTACATGTAAAATGACGTTATATACCTATTATATGCAACCAAATTATATGGTATATAGGAAAGCACAAGATTTGGCAGCGTAGCTTAACTGTTGGCGGCGGTGAACGATTTGCTTCAAAAATGCATGTTTTATTGCTGAAACGCGAAGAAAGGAAAATTCATCAAGAACGGCGGCCGCCACCTCTATTTAGGCAAAAATGAACAATCACTTTGAACTAAATAAGAATGACTTACCCGAAAGTTGATGTTGTCGAAAGGCATAATAATAATAATAATAATCATAATAATAATAAACAAAATAGGATAAGTAAAAGGGGGAATAAATGACGCTGCTGGGCTGTCCATCAGCCCCTGCAGATCAGCAGCCCTGTACCCAATCCAACCCCCGAGGGCGACTACGTCCCTGAGTTTCTCGGTGAAGAATTCCCACTCGGGCGACCCAGGGACGACAGTCCGGGGAAGGGGTTTCCCCTTGGCCCACTGGCGCGGTTTGAGCCAGAGCTCCTTCACTACTAAGGCCTCAGGATCGGGCTCAGCCTTATAACGGACATGAATTTCTTCAATCGGAATGTTTATGAGCTCTAGTCCCGCGAAAGGGACTCTGACAGTCTCTAAGTATGATGGCATCTAAGACAAACAAATTAACATTTTAAATCACATGAAAATGTACGTCAAACAAAAACTTTTTGAACAGCATGTTTCGGAAGGTGATAATTGTTAAACTTTCCCTAAATTTTTCCCAAGTTTTAATACGCTTATCCCGAAGTCACAGACAGAAAAAATTGTACTTTTAGCTGCCTGTTATTTTCAACCAGCCTAGAAATTTTGAATTTGATTCGGAAACAAAAAATTTGTAATAACGATTGGTTTGTCGAATGCTAATTCTGAAAATTTACAATTCAACCTGTAGTTATGGACGAGTTAAATTTTGTCTTCCCAGGCTATGTTAAATGTCTTCCCAGGCTATTCTTAGTGCCCAAATGTCAACCCGGAATTCAAATGGATCATCAAAGCAGTGACCTACCTGAGGAAGTTCAGAAACTAGTAAAAGAGAACTCTGTACAGAAAATTGTATTCCTTGCAAAAACTGAATATGTGCCAGCCAATTATGTTGTGACAAATGATGGCAATGATAATGACATAACTAATTACTTTACAAGTTATACACGATACGAGATTTTTTTATTGTTCTGAAGATTAGATAAAACATAATTTATGGCAAAAACACATTTTTTCCTTCTCATTAGGAAACTAGTGTTATAGACAGAGTGTTAGAAAGAACCAGATAGAGAAAACTAAATTGAACAGCTGAACGTCTGAATTAGCGATTGATGAGTCTGATGCTACTATAGTTACCGATTTTGCTTATGATCAAACAAACACTGAGCAAAAATCTTGAAAGTTTTGTAATGATGTTACAGTCTCCAGATCAGAAGTAGTTTTTAAGTCTCAAATGATTTTAAATTTCATTTTACCAACTTTATGTATCTATAAACTCTCTTGGACGCAAATAAGCTGTGAAGAGACGTCAGTTTGGTTTTCAATTTTGTCTGGTTTAGTTGGGTACGTGCTATCAAACCAAAGGATATGAATAAAGTTTTTGATACGTCGACAAGACTGTTTATGGCAGTTGTAGGACCGTCAGGATCCGGAAAAACAGAGTTGATTTTCAAGCTACTGACAGGAAGAACATTTTATCCCATATACGAAAGAATGTTTTTTTTTACAAAAATATTCAACCTGTAGTTATGGACGAGTTAAATTTTCGTAGAATTCATATTCAATTTGTAAAGTTTGACGGATTCGATCCTTTGAGAAACAGTGAAAACATTATGTTAGTGTTTGATGACTCATTTGAAGAAATATAAAATGACAAAGAATTAGTTAAACTAGCAATAGCAGGAAGACACAGGGGCTTAGATGTTTTTTATGATAAACATATTTTTTCCAACAAAGCCGATGGTCACGAACTATTGATTTGAACACACCTCACATCATTTTATTCAAATTACCTTGTGATATTCAGCAACTTGATCACCTCGGAAAGCAACCTAATGCACCAAAATTCTTACGACAATCGCAGAACTGGCTACAAAGGACAGCTTCGGACATCTATTAATAGATTTAGATCCCCGAAAATTAGACTGTCTCAGATACTGTTCAAACATAATACCACTTGGTCCGTCAATTTTTTATTTACCAAGCAGATGTGACACCCATAACAAATGAACGCGAAAAAATTATTTATACTGCATCACATGGTACAGTTGAACCCAACTCAACTACGAGGCTTCATTAGATAAAAAAATCAAATAGTCAAATGATATCAGTTTTTTGTGAATACTTGCTTATTTTAGTCAACGGTAATGTGCCTGTCAAAATCGAAAAACCTCAATAAATTCGAAAGAGTACAAAATTTTAATCAATCGAAAAATGAGTCCTGAAAAAAAAACGAGCTATTATACTGAGCAAACAATGATGTTATCTAATCAGACATATACTTTATTTTTGCTTCAATTATTTGACAGCATAGAAATGGCAGCAGAAGAAATTGTTCAAATTCCGAAGTGTATGTATATCAGAGATCAACCACATGCAGCGAAGATTTTGCTTGACAACTCCATCAAACACAAGAAACCGCAACTATCATATTTGAACCGTTTGAGACCATTAACTGAATCAGCAAGAACAACAACAACAACATCATCTATTGATACGACAGCAGTCATACCCCAACCCCTGAACCACCTATTGTTGCCGAAGCAGAAAGCAATCCACAAAAACAAGCTCTCCTTCTCACTTCTCAAGATGATGATGATGATGAAGGAGGAAGCGAGATGGAAAAAAATGTTGAGCTTAGTGACTCATTTTCCACTGAACATATCCTGTTACAATCACAGCTCATGGAAGAACACAAACTTAAGCGAGCGAAAATAGTTCTTGAAGTATTTAAAAAATCAGAGGTGTCAAAATAAATCAAGATAATGAAGAACTTTACGTTGATAAAGTGCCAACCGGTCTTAAAGCATCAGTTTTTTTGTAAGATATACAACAACAAGCTAAAAAATTTTACAACCCTGCTTTAATGATGATTTTGAGGTCACTCAAACTTGATGAACGGTTGGTTATGAACAAGTATGCCCAAGTCGAGCTTCAGACAACGAATACGGAACAAGCTCAACAGAAGCAAAGAAGCAGAGGTTCCACAAATTCCCCTTCAACATCTACAGCCCTCCTCCTCTTTTCTCCCGAGAAACCGTCGGCATCAAGTTCTAGCTCAAAAAGCAGTTAAGGTCGCAAAACCAGAAGGACTGTTCCAGACAGTGAAAGAAAACGGGCAGCGCAAAAAACCAAACGAGAAGAAGGAGCAGCAGAAGAGGAATACACCGAGTCGTACGAAACGCTCGATAACAATTCAGATTCTGCAACGACAGAGAAGACAAAGAAAAAAACAGAAAAAAAGGCAAGATTACACCAACTGAAGTAAAACTATTGAAAACTAATTTTACAAGTAAAGGTCCAGCATTGTTTTGCAGTGTACAGAATTTAAAAGAGGAATCAGAAATTTCACGAAGTAAAG